CAATTCTGCTGTGGTAGCTGGTTTCAGGAACATTATTATAATGTAGTACATTACATTGGAGCCACATCTTGAATGTTGCAAGTTCGCGTAGCAGAACATCAAGAGGATATTGCTAATAGTAAACTAACTCACAACTGAGCTTTTCAAACATGACTATGTGCCCTTTGACTAACCCTAGATTACTGAGACAGTGCTATGACAAAAGAATGCTATTCTTATGGAAAAATCTTTATATCGCATTACTTTCACCCTGTAATACCCTACCATCGACATTCTGTATTTATGGATAGAATTGTTTTTAAGCATTTCATTTTGTAGACGCTCTAAAGATTTTTGTTGATAATGTAAAGTATGGTAAACTTTATCATACTTTACATTTTTTTTTCTATGGGGGCAGTAGCCTAAAAGGAAAGATCGTCTTTGTGAGTTTTGTGATTTTATGAACTGTGGATGGCGGAAAACAACAGAAAGAAAGACTGAAGCAAAGTTTCATCTTTGTTAAAAGTTGTATTTATATTATATTTATTATATTATTAAATTATCATTGGCCATGTTAAATTCAATTTTTATTTTATTTAAAATGCTTATGTAAGTTATTTTTTCAAATAAAAACTCATAACAGCTGGGAAAGTTACACAGCTTGTTGCTAGATTTTTTTTGTTTATTTTATCTTAAGTGTGAAAATATATGAGCCGTTGATTTTCAAAGTGGAGCAAGCCCATTTTATGCTATTGCTAGCTACTTAATGGTTTGCATTTGAATAAGTTTAAAAATATTCGTACTCAGTAATAGACTTATTTTATTTTTTTTTTTGGTGTTATTTCATGTAAATTTAATATGCAATAATGGTTGTGTGTGTTAGAAAAAATATTCAGTGATAAGTTGCATGCATATAATTATATTTCTTAGTTTAGATCAGTGTTTCTCAACCTCTAACGAATCATCGCCCCCTTCAATAAAACAGTTTGTAGTATCGCCCCCTTCACTTCAAAATTCCGATGCCGAAGGCCAAGGCTAACGCCAAATTTGTACCGCATTCTATAGATTAGTGACTAGTATAATGTTATTTGTTTAATTATTGTACGATATAACGAATAAAATATCTAATTACTCTTAATATAATGTTTAGCTATATCGCCCAGAAAATTGTTTTTCGCCCCCAAAATATAAATTGTTGCTAATCGCCCCCTGAAAATGGAAAAACGCCCACATGGGGGCGATATCGCCCCCATTGAGAAACACTGGTTTAGATGATGCAGATTTTTAAAGTATTCGTGATGAATGGGTAGTACATAGGGAAATAAATCCATTATATCTTTATATTTTTCTTTAGAGTGGACTTGTCTCACTTCCAAAATCAACACACAATAAATATCATTGACGGTATAAATTATGAGTAACAAATTTATATTGATATTAAAAGATATTTATTGTGAATTGATTAAAAACATAAATTTTATATTAATTTGTAATAATAATCAGCTGTAACTATTTTTTTCACAAAATGGACTTGCCCCACTTTTAAAATCAATGGCTCATATCAACATATGAGCCATTGATTAAGCCTTTCAACCAAACTATTTATTAATTATGGGTGTATTTCTTTTCAAGCTTTCTCCTTGTGTATTGACTATTCACGTAGTTTTGTCTGCTTATAAAGGAAATTGAGGTCTACATGACATGGTAAAACTTTGTCAAGTTTAGTCAAAGTTTAGGGAATAAAAAAAAAGTCCAACCTTTAGATAAGTTTAACACTCAATTATTGTCTCTTTAAATTTCCCATTATCAAACTGTTTCTCAAATCTGTTTACAATTTTGTAATCATTCTGTATACAGTTTGTTTCTTCTGACTGTTGTCAAGGTATCACTTTGTCTCAATCAGAATGCTGATTGATAAAAGGGTGTTGATATGATCTTGTAATGGTGTGGTTTGTGTTTGGCACAGAGCCATAATTTATCTTAATTATCTATTCAGATGATCAGATCTATGAAAGGACGGAGGCTACATGGACAATAGGTTAGAATTAAAATTACTGAAATACCTTTATTTTTTATACAACAAAATTACAGGTGATGTCTGTTGACAATAAGGGCTGCTCCTTTATAATAAAAGTATAACAAAGCCCACTAAAATACAACAATCATTAAAGGTAATATACATGCAATAAAATACAAAATATTCAATGAAAATACAGTATAAAACTTTTTGCAATGACATTTATAACTAATAAAATAGAAGGTAAACTATATCTTCTATTGCTTTAGCTACTTAATGATAACGAAAAAAAAAAAACAGTTGTAACGTTGAGGTGGCAAAAAGACGTAGAGATACACAAAAGCTAATGATAAGATCATAATGGTAACGATATTAAAATTCCTATTCTGATCTCTGCACATCAGAGAACATGTTTTTGATATCTGGAGAAAGGTGCTATTTGAGATACAAGCATGTATTTACTACAATCCAGATACTGATGCATTTGACTGATAGTAAGACTTGTAGTGTAGCACTTGTGATCGAAAATTAAGGAATCAGTTTCAAATTGTACACTGGAGGTGGAAATAGATTAGAATTTTCAGAGATGCTTATTCTGAAAGTGATTGACAATCTTGGCCAAAAATGGACTGGAAAGGAATGAAATGAGAAGTCATAAATATAGCAACACTGGTGAAATCTTACAATAGTGTGTATAACAATATAATCTGTAGTCACTAGTAGGAGTTGCCATTACAAGCTACTTTACAGATCACGCTCTCTTACATCACCACTCATTTGTCAGGACGTCACTAGCATCTGTTGTCATTCACACAGACTATCACAGGCAATGAAGATGATAGCACACCTACAATACAGTTGCGTATGGTGTAAATTTCAAATACAGCAGTAAAAGCAAAACATTTTTGTACGGAGAGATTAAACTGAGATTACTGAGATATGAAAGGCATATTTCAATAAGCATCTTTAACCAAAGGCAACCAAGTGCCATAATTGACTTTTTTCCTAAGTAAATTCAAGCTTCCAGAACATGCATGTGGTAAATTTGGCAATTACAATGACACGTGATTGAGTTATTATAGTTGCCAAATCTATCATGTGATAAACAAACATGTTTCTCTTACTTTCTCATCAGTAGTCATGTACTCGGATATAACAGGAAAAATGTAAATGTCACTTGGTAGACTGTTGTTCTGACTCATGATTTATTGATTTATATTCATGTTTTATTACTGATTTTATTATGATACAGAAACATAAATATTAGGAATTCATTTTAATATAATAAAATAAATCAAATAAAGCAGTATATTTTTTAAATTTATTAAAATAAATCTTTTATCTTTGTACTTATTGTAAATTCTTCCTGATTCACTCTACATTTTAGGAGATAAGAGTGATTCTAAGCAGAAGAAAAGTTGATATGAACATGCATCAAAATTGGTAAAGTTTACTAAGCTACAATTCTGTCTCTTTCAACTGGTGAATCAGTTATTGTAGTCTATTTCATTGTCAACACAGAGCCCAAATGTAACTCCTTGAATTTCTGCTTATGGGGCTGGATGGTCAAGTTTCATGTACAGAGATGACACATTGGGAGTTATTCACAAAACTCACTCACTATTACCTAAATCAATGAACACCAGGGTGGTCATGTAATGATAAAGTGACCATATTTTCTGAATTTCAATTCGGGATGATCTAAAAGTTGAAGGTTGGAAATATAGTGTGTGAAGTTGTTAGAATGATTTTGTTGCTTAATAATGTTTTTGTGTATATTAATGACTAATATTTACATATAAACAAAAACAGGATAATTGGGAACATTTTTACAAGCTGTGAGAGCCAAAAATTGGGACTGTCCCGGTTAATTAAATGAATATTTATTAAATAATTATTATTAAATTCAATAAGAGATGGTGTCCAATGCCTACCGCTAGTGCTAAATTATTCAGTTTTTAATTATTAATAGTAGTGGTCATGTAGCCCAATTTAATCCTGCGATCATTTGGCTTCTTCAACATGTAACAAGCTTCACAGTGGAGCAATTTTCCAACACCATAGTAAAAACAGGTCTTTACTGTATATTTCTACCCCATCTTTTTCATGGTGCCTTGTGTACAGTACATTCTACTTGCAATATCTCGGTAACCATTACAAATCTGACACATGATCATGTAAACTTTTTGCTTAGAATTACTCAAGCTATCATCTAGAATACTGCATGTGAATCATCCTGTATTTATCTGAACATTAGAGTAAAGCATTTGAAAAAAAAAATACTGAAAGGTTATGAGATTTTCTTTTAATAAGGCCTATTTGTGATTATTGTTTTAAGGCATTTTATATTTGATTGAATATGAAAAGCTTTTAAAGTAAATGAAAGAAACTAATTAAATGTTAAACATACAAAAGGTTGGTTGATTATCGTCATCAAATCATGTGACTTTCATTGTCATTTGAAATGCAAAATTGTACATTTAGTAACTCTGATATCGAAAGATTTGTATTTAATATTTATCGGGAAGATTTGTTTAAAAGTATTTATTACTTCTTTGAGAGTAGTGCTATTTAGAGTGGCTTTTATATTGATGTTTGACTGTGTAGGCCAGATGTCACCAAAGTGGTCGATATAACATTATTGGGGTGGTCTATTATCAAGCTTAAACTAAGGATCGAGCTTATCCGTCTCACTGATTGTTACAAAAATTATTATTAACAATTATAAATAAATGAAAATAATGTAAAATTAAAAGAAATGTATTAAAATAGTAAGTGCTTTTTTTTTTCTTGTAACACACACTTTTTGGTGGGGTGGACGTGAGGTTTTGAAAACTTGTAGGGGTTTCGACGATCAAAAAAGTTCGGCGACCCTTGGTGTAGGCAAACAGATATAATTATTAATAAAGTATTTTATATTAATTGTGTGTGTGTGTAATTATTAAACTTGGTATTATGATTAATGACTTTGACTGTTTTGGCATTGATATATTTTATTTTTCAGGTCAAGAAGAATACATTCGATATAGTCAAGAGGTTGGTAGATATTTTTAAATTTTACTGGTCTGTTTTTTTCTATTCTAAAGTTATATTATTATTTTAAATGTTAGACTTTACTTAGTGATTTGAACACAATTCTGAAATAAATATCAGTTTAACATTTTGGTATTGGTATTACATCATACAACATTATCTATATTGAATATAAACAAGTTCTATTTTTGAAGTTGTTTAAATCTGTATATAAACTTTTATTAATATATAAAAACTTTTCCACAAATAAGAAAGAAAAGACAAATGGAATTAAATCAATAATCAGCTTAATTTGCACTACTTTTGTTGAAATTTATGCTTTCTAATCATATAATTATTAATGTTTATTAATTACGAAGAAAGTAAACTGGTTAAATCTCAAATAAGGTATCAAAGTATAGACTTGCCAACTGCAGTGGTTGGTTGTAACTGACCATTGTTAGTTATTGTTTGTAACTAAGAAATGTTTTCTACATTCTAATTTGTTTTAAAAATCTCTGTTTTTGGAGCTGCTACTTCATATACAAATTATAGGGTTGTAAACTTGTGTGATAGCACATCTTTGATAGCTGTACTACCAAATGGATGATTTTGCAAAAAGAAAAAAGTACTCAAAAATTCAAAATTTACATTAGCGTGTTGGTTCTCGACTATTTGCTCCGCACACAAATATAAAAATTTATTTATTAAATTTCAACATTAAAAAAAATGATAGAATATAGGAGTTTTTGTAAAAATAAGATTCAGTGGTATAAAACAAGATTGTTCAGAGTATAAACAATAGATTTGTATAAACACAAGCTTCAAAATGACATACTTTGAATATGTTATGCTTTCAAGTTTCACATGTTGCAATCTTCTATTTGTTTGGTGATAAATGAAAGGAAAAATATTAAAAATTAAATGTCCTAAACAACATTTGCACATATCCTAACATGGTTTAAGATATGAAGCTTTGTAACATATTAATTTGCTTGAATTTTTTAAAAATGTTCTGAATTGAAGTAGTAAAAAAAGAATGGAAAGATACTTAGAAAAATTGTTTTTTTTACTAATCTCTCTCAATTATTTAATGATAAATAAAGTATGTTTCAAAGCAAGAAAAATGCATTATTATTATTATCTGTATAAGAATAAATATATTCAATTTTTAGTTTATTATAAAATAGAATATTTTAAAAAATGTTCTAATTTCTGTTTGTGTATGTTGCATTTAAGATTGTTCTGATGAAGAATGTTTTCCTTAAAGTATACTTGAAGGCAACACACATTTTATTTACCACTGAACTACGACATTTGTTCTTTCTCTAATTATATTAGTGTGACGTCAGAATATATCTTCATAAATGATATCTAAGCTACAAAGTCTGATTAATTTTTAATCTTTCTTGTGAATATATGTGTAATGTAATAAAATATTAAAATATATTATCTGATGTTTGTTTTTAAATATCTGCTGACTTTGAGAAGAACTTGTCTAAACCAGGGGTGGCAACCTTTTGAGTCAGAAGAGCCAAAATTACAATTTACAAAATTTCAAAGTTTTTAAAGAGCCATAAAATTTTTTCTTGCCAACAATAAATAGTACTCGCATAAATAAAGTTTTTTGATAAAAAAAAAACTAATCTATTTATTCATATATAAGTAGTGTTTTTCACAACAAATTAGGTAATAGAAACATCCGACGACAGCGTCATTTGAGAGCTTCCGACGGACTGACGACAGTGACGATGCGTGTCACGGGGGAGGGGTGTGGTGAAAAGCGAGTACAAGTGGCTGAGAGATAGAATCGGTGCCTAATCCTCGTTAATCGATTCAGAATGATTTTTAAATGTTTTTTTTTAATAAAATAAATACTTGCGTATGGAACTAAAGAGCCGCAGGTTGCTGACCCCTGGTCTAAACCTATAAAAGTGGGCAATATTGCCCCTGTGGTCATTTGAATTATTCAAGGGATCATTAGGGACACCTAAGAGGGTCCCTGTGCATACAGGTTGCTTTACTACTAACAGTTACAACCAAAGGGAGTGGTGATTCAAAAAAGTTTGAATAACTTTTGAATCACTGGTTTAGACTAATAGTCATTAAAATTTTGTAATTACACCTATTATCTTATGACTACATTTAGACTATTGATGATATAAATCAGCAGTCTTCAACCTTTTGGACCTCACAGGCTACTGAACTAACAATTTTGAATCCCACGGATCATTATCAAGAATTCTTTTAAACGATACAAAATCAGTAGAATAATGATCATAAAAGTTTGATTTTACTATATTAATATAAAACTCTCTTGTTTAATTATAACAAATTAATGCAAGCCTAAAGTTCATTGCTGCTTGTTTGAAACAAGTTTATGGATTCTTAGCACTTTTCCATGAAGGACGACAATCGCACTCACAACATTGTTTAGTGCTCATTATTTATTGATAACAGTCACTTCGTATGTGTTTTAGATTCAAATAATAAACCCCCAATGAGTGAAAAAAAGCAACTAAGCATTTTGCATTTCTTTCGTAATCTTCAGTTGATCAATGTCCAACTTTCTCCACGGACCATCCAAATTTTCTCACAGACCATCAATGGTCCACAGACCACCAGTTGCCGACCACTGATATAAATGATTGAATGGGAAATATTCTGAGAATAGAAGTGTTTTTAAAAGTTCAGATGAATTTTGAGATTTTTACTATGATTCTCAGAACATGATACCAAAGAATCTGCTCGTTGTGATAACAATATTGTCAAATATCTAACATAGAATTCACCAAAGTGGTCATTATTGATCCTTGGTTGTATGGCATTTTTGGATGCCATAAATTAGTGTTGATTTGAAAATGGTTCATTAAAAATGGTTAGTCCAAATTGGTTGTGTATCAGACAATTCAGGATATTTAAATTTGCACACTGTAAGATCTTTTCAATGGAAATGTGAGCCAGTATTATTAATCCATACACCCAGATTTATTATTCACTATATTAGCGATCCTTTTTCTCTTCCTTTTTTTATGCTTAAAGGTCAAGGTTGATTTGAAGGGCTTGACAGTCAAAACTTTTGGTCAACCCCATGATGTAATGTTATCAGAGTTAGCATTTTTAATAATAGTTTTAGTAATAGTAATTTATGTTTTAGCTTTTATAGCTAAAACATAAATTACTCTACTTATTATCAGCAGAGCTTAGATTATAGTATGCATTATCTTCAGGTAAATAGGTGTGTATTTTTTTCTAGCTGCATTTTTTCCACTATCAGCTTCAACATGTGATTGATAATCATTTTTAATTATTAATTGTTAGCATTTGTTACTTCAGTTTCATGCCAAATTAATTATTATTAATGGTAACTGAAAACAAAAATTGTATTATTAGTAAATTTGATACATTTTTTTTAAAAACATTAGTTCGTAACTAGATTACAATTAATAGAAATTCTGGTTTTAACTAATTACATTAATCAGAGTATCATTACAGGAGGCATCCCAAAGTGATGATGATAAGCAGATTTTACTTTTAGATTTCTAAATTCTATTAAGGGTATTCTTTTACTGCTTGGAGCATTTTTTACATTTAGATCAGTAAAAATATTTTAAATACTAGTGATTTTATAGATGCAAGTATTTTTAACAACATATCATACTGTTAAGTAATTCTGAATTGTTATTATAAATTAACATAAATGATACTGCTGGTTTCCTTGGATCATAACTTAGCTAATTAAATTTATAGATAAAAGTAATTTAGACTAAAGATAGATGATTAAATATATAAAGTAATGGCAACTTAATCTTCCAAGTTATAGACCAATGAATCCCAGCGGTATGTTTCTTTAAAAATTACTGTAAAGTAATCAAAGATTGATCATTTGATGTTAGGAATTCTAGGGATATTAGCGATTATATAATTGACCATTAGGACTATGTTCATTACTTTTGATTCATTGTTCTGATCAACTACTGAATACTCTTAGATGATGATGATTTTTTTTTTAATCTCAGAAATTAGCATTTGGGAGCTAAAGCATTTTATATATGTCAAACCTTGACTTTTAGCTTTTGTTTACCCCTGAAATTGGCACAGTTCAATGCCATTTTCAGGGGACAAACAAATGGTGATGCTTCTCAGAAGCAAAAACACTTTACATATACACTTGTGTGAAAACTTTATATCAGGTCAGTCCATAAGTTCTTGGGTATTTTATGATCTTGAGAAAAATCCTGTTTTGTTGTTAAAAATGCCAGTCTAATGTGATACTTTTTACCACTGAAGTGTTAAATTGGATCTCATTCATATAATACTGTTCAGAATTGGGAACATTTCAGTTGTTTATTTTCGTTAAAATGGAAGTAACAGATGAATATAAGAGTCGTGTTTTATACTTTTTATTTTTAAGTGATGAGAATGCTACAAATGCAGCCAAAAAATTAAATACTGTTCATAATCAAACTGTAATTAGTGTAAGGACTGCGCAGAAGTGGTTTGAAAGATTTAGAAATAATGATTTTAGTGTGGAGGATAAGGCTCGTACTGGAAGACCTGTTGACTTTGATGATGATGCTCTCTCTGCACTAGTTGAAGCAGAACCATCTTTAACAGTTGATGAAATTGCGGAACGTTTAAATTCATCCCATGGAACTGTTCATAGACATCTACAACAAATCGGAAAAGTTTCAAAGCTAGGAAAATGGATACCACATGAACTGTCAATAGCTAACTGACAACAACGTCAACTGCTCAACTCAAAAGCTTCAACTGGGAAATTTTACCTCATCCACCATATTTGCCAGATATTGCTCCCAGTGATTATCATCTTTTTCGGAGTTTGCAGAATTTTTTAAAAGGAAAAACTTTTGAGGATGAGAACAATGTAAAAAAGGCTATTTCTGAATATTTTGATTCAAAACCGAAATCATTTTACAAAGACGGGATTAAAAAGCTACCATCAAGATGGCAAGAAATTGTACAAAATAATGGTGAATACATTATAGATTGAAATAAAATTT